CCTCATAATGGGCACAGCGGGTGTACAGACCCGGGAACTCAGCACAGAGATGGGGGGAGCCCCTCATAGTGGGCACAGCGGGTGTACAGACCCGGGAACTCAGCACAGGGATGGGGGGAGCCCCTCATAATGGGCACAGCGGGGGTACAGACCCGGGAACTCAGCACAGGGATGGGGGGAGCCCCTCATAATGGGCACAGCGGGGGTACAGACCCGGGAACTCAGCACAGGGATGGGGGGAGCCCCTCATAATGGGCACAGCGGGGGTACAGACCCGGGAACTCAGCACAGGGATGGGGGGAGCCCCTCATAATGGGCACAGCGGGGGTACAGACCCGGGAACTCAGCACAGGGATGGGGGGAGCCCCTCATAATGGGCACAGCGGGGGTACAGACCCGGGAACTCAGCACAGGGATGGGGGGAGCCCCTCATAATGGGCACAGCGGGGGTACAGACCCGGGAACTCAGCACAGGGATGGGGGGAGCCCCTCATAATGGGCACAGCGGGGGTACAGACCCGGGAACTCAGCACAGGGATGGGGGGAGCCCCTCATAATGGGCACAGCGGGTGTACAGACCCGGGAACTCAGCGCAGGGATGATGAGAACCCCTTATAATGGGCACAGCAGAGGTGCAGACTTGGCATCTCCAAGAGAGTGACACCCACCACTGCAGTGACCCTTTAGGATTCATTGAATATTATGGGCTCTGTCTACTACCAATATCCTCCTCACCTCTACAGAAAGGACACCGGTCGCTATGTAACATATATTCAGATGCATAATGTGCATTATTTCCCCTCTCCATAATATTCCACAAATAGAACCAATAAATATATTAAACACAGATCAGGAAACACTTTGTATATTAGATTGCACTGTCCTTGTGACCTCCGGATCTTTACCCTCCCACCCGAAACCCCCGCTGAGCTGCCGCCCCATCCCTCACCTTACTCTGACCCACACGCTGCTCTGCATAGACATAGAAGCTGGCACTGCCATCTGACAGAATCCTGGCACTCCCTCCTCTCCCTGCTTCTCCCGGTCCGTCCTGCCAAACTGGACCCCGGCCCATCTCACAAAATACACTTTTAATAAATGTGTCAATTGAAAAACGTTGCAGTCTGGTTGCAGAAAACGATGCAGAACGTCTGCTGAGTTCTATGTGTGGGGAAAAGTAGAAGGATGCGGGAAAGGATGGAGGAGTGCAGAAAGAGACGTGTGAGGGGTCAGCACAGGGATAGTCAATGTATACAGGGCAGGACCGAGGTGTAACTAGGGCGGCCGTCTCTAACTACTAACTACCATCTCTGAAACCCAAACACTCTAGAGCTGTGCTGCAATTTATTTGAAGACTATAAAGGAGAGATACTGAGGAGAGACAGTGAGGAGAGACAGCCAGGAGAGACAGTGAGGAGAGACAGCCAGGAGAGACAGTGAGGAGAGACAGCCAGGAGAGACAGTGAGGAGAGACAGCCAGGAGAGACAGCCAGGAGAGACAGCCAGGAGAGACAGCCAGGAGAGACAGCCAGGAGAGAAAGTGAGGAGAGACAGCCAGGAGAGAAGAGAGACAGTCAGGAGAGAGAGCGGGGAGAGACAGTCAGGAGAGAGAGCGAGGAGAGACAGCCAGGAGAGAAAGGACAAGGGGAGAAAGCCAGAAAAGAGAGCGAGGAGAGACAGCCAGGAGAAAGAGTGAGGAGAGAGAGCGAGGAGAGAAAGCCAGGAGAATGAGTGAGGAGAGACAGTCAGGACAGAGAAAGTAGAGCCATCCAAGGGACAGAAAGTGAGGAGAGACAACCAGGAGAAAGAGAGGAGAGAGAGAAGAGAGACAGCCAGACAAGAAAGTGAAAAGAAACAGCCAGGCAGAGAGTGAGGAGAGACAGCCAAATGAGAGAGAGTGAGGAGATGCAGCCAGGGGACATGGATACGAGAGACAGCCAAGAGAGAGAATGAAGAGGGACAGCCAGCAGACTGAGAGAGTAGAGACACCCAGGGGATAAGCAAGGATAGGCAGCCAGGAGAGGGAGAAGAGAGACAGCCAGACGAGAAAGTGAAAAGAAACAGCCAGGCAGAGAGCGAGGAGAGACAGTCAGGAAAGAGAGAGAAGAGAGGCTACCAGGAGAGAGAGTAAGGAGAGACACCCAGAGAAGAGTGAGGAGAGACAGCCAGAAGAAGGAGAGACAGCCAGGAAAGAGAGTGAGGAGAAAGCCAGGAAAGAGAGGAGAGACAGCCAGGGGAGAGGGTGAGGAGAGGCAGCCAGGGGAGAGAGTGAGGAGAGGCAGCCATGAGAGGGAGAGGAGAGGCAGACAGGAGAGGAGAGGCAGCCAGGGGAGGGAGAGGAGAGGCAGCCAGGAGAGAGAGACAGCTAGGAAAGAGACTGAGAAGAAAGCCAGGAGGATAAGTGGGGAGATACAGCCAGGAAAATTAGAGAAGAGATAGGATAGAGAGTGAGGAGAGACAGTGAGCAACACATCTGCCTGAAGCAGAACCCCTGTGCCCTTCAAGACTTATCTGCACACTGTGTTTCAGACACCTCCTTGCTCCCCGAGTTCCAGGATTCCTCCACGTCCCGTGCCTCCTCCATGCACTCAATTTAGAACAACAGGACCCCTTGGTTGCCCCTGTCACCTGACATTGTGAAATCTTGTGTCCGGGTTTCAGCTGGCCCAAAACCTGAACATAGCACATACAGGACTCAAATCCCGGACAGGTGGCAACCCTAAGTATGGTGACAAGGGAGAGAGTGAGGAGAGGGAGCCAGGAGAGGGAGAGGAGAGGCAGCCAGGGGAGAGAGTGAGGAGAGGCAGCCAGGGGAGGGAGAGGAGAGGCAGCCAGGAGAGAGAGACAGCTAGGAAAGAGACTGAGAAGAAAGCCAGGAGGATAAGTGGGGAGATACAGCCAGGAAAATTAGAGAAGAGATAGGATAGAGAGTGAGGAGAGACAGTGAGCAACACATCTGCCTGAAGCAGAACCCCTGTGCCCTTCAAGACTTATCTGCACACTGTGTTTCAGACACCTCCTTGCTCCCCGAGTTCCAGGATTCCTCCACGTCCCGTGCCTCCTCCATGCACTCAATTTAGAACAACAGGACCCCTTGGTTGCCCCTGTCACCTGACATTGTGAAATCTTGTGTCCGGGTTTCAGCTGGCCCAAAACCTGAACATAGCACATACAGGACTCAAATCCCGGACAGGTGGCAACCCTAAGTATGGTGACAGCGCAGTGTGAGGGATCAGCACAGGTCAGGGTGCACTTGTTGGGATTGCACAGGATGCCATGTGACAACGACACTCTGTTTTGCCTTGTATTGGGGCCACGCTGCCACTCTAGGTCACTCAATATCAAGGTGGAATAAATTGAGAGTAACATTCATCAGTCTGAGCGGCCGGTGGCGATGAGCGGAGGGAGGGGTGTTGGTGTAGTGAAGGATGAGGGAGGGGGAGCTGGAAGGAGAGGACCAGACACATTAGACACGCGGAGATCAGAGCTTTGCTGAGCTGATGGTGGCAGACAACAGGAGAGAGATTAACCCAAAACTCAATCCCAGAAGACTCAGCGAAGGCGACATTATAAATGATGAGGAATAAATGAGGAATTCTGATCATGATATTTTGTGATCATTAAACATGATTGACACACAAATTCATTGTGATCAGAAAAGAAGAGCCGAGCACAAGGAACCCCAGACCTGAACCTGACCTACACCTGACCAGACCCGTCTGGACAGAGGAGCGGCTTGTAGGAGGCTTGTAGGACTTTTAACCTTCACACCTCTCTAAAGACATGGGGACCCATGACAGCTGACAGCTCCGGAGGGTTCTCGGTGGATTGGAGACAGTAATGGCCGCACTTGCCAGTAAATTAATTCGGCAGAAGAGAGAGCTCCGAGATTCCGGAGGATCACGCCCCGTACCCCCGCAGAGGAAAGTCTGTCCGAGAGGAACCAAATCCCTGTGCCAAAAACAGTTGCTCTTCCTGGTCTCCAAAGTTCGCCTCTGCAGCCAAAGAGGAGCACTGGACAAAGACCCCGGTGAGCAACCGTATTAATATCAATGGTACCCTTATACTGACCCCCTCACACTGCACCTCCATCCTGTCCCATATATATATATATACTATTCCTATACTGACCCCCCCACACAGTGTTGTCACTGCACCTCCATCCTGTCCTATATATATACTATTCCTATACTGACCCCCCCACACAGTGTTGTCACTGCACCTCCATCCTGTCCTATATATATATATATATACTATTCCTATACTGACCCCCCCACACAGTGTTGTCACTGCACCTCCATCCTGTCCTATATATATATATATATACTATTCCTATACTGACCCCCCCACACAGTGTTGTCACTGCACCTCCATCCTGTCCTATATATATATATATATACTATTCCTATACTGACCCCCCCACACAGTGTTGTCACTGCACCTCCATCCTGTCCTATATATATATATATATACTATTCCTATACTGACCCCCCCACACAGTGTTGTCACTGCACCTCCATCCTGTCCTATATATATATATATATACTATTCCTATACTGACCCCCCCACACAGTGTTGTCACTGCACCTCCATCCTGTCCTATATATATATATATATACTATTCCTATACTGACCCCCCCACACAGTGTTGTCACTGCACCTCCATCCTGTCCTATATATATATATATATACTATTCCTATACTGACCCCCCCACACAGTGTTGTCACTGCACCTCCATCCTGTCCTATATATATATATATATACTATTCCTATACTGACCCCCCCACACAGTGTTGTCACTGCACCTCCATCCTGTCCTATATATATATATATATACTATTCCTATACTGACCCCCCCACACAGTGTTGTCACTGCACCTCCATCCTGTCCTATATATATATATATATACTATTCCTATACTGACCCCCCCACACAGTGTTGTCACTGCACCTCCATCCTGTCCTATATATATATATATATACTATTCCTATACTGACCCCCCCACACAGTGTTGTCACTGCACCTCCATCCTGTCCTATATATATATATATATACTATTCCTATACTGACCCCCCCACACAGTGTTGTCACTGCACCTCCATCCTGTCCTATATATATATATATATACTATTCCTATACTGACCCCCCCACACAGTGTTGTCACTGCACCTCCATCCTGTCCTATATATATATATATATACTATTCCTATACTGACCCCCCCACACAGTGTTGTCACTGCACCTCCATCCTGTCCTATATATATATATATATACTATTCCTATACTGACCCCCCCACACAGTGTTGTCACTGCACCTCCATCCTGTCCTATATATATATATATATACTATTCCTATACTGACCCCCCCACACAGTGTTGTCACTGCACCTCCATCCTGTCCTATATATATATATATATACTATTCCTATACTGACCCCCCCACACAGTGTTGTCACTGCACCTCCATCCTGTCCTATATATATATATATATACTATTCCTATACTGACCCCCCACACAGCGTTTCCCCTTCCATTGCGCGCTCTTGTATACCTCTCTGTAATGACCTCCTCGCTAAGCGGTGTCATTGAACATTGTGTTAGTCGCCGCTCTAGTTGAGCTGTCGGTATAATGGATTGAATAGTTTTCTCTCTGGAGACAATAAAAGGAAGGAAAAGAGGTCAGGGGCATAGAGAAGATAGAACAGCAGTATGATTAGATGGAGGAGG